CACGCGAAAATTAAGGGTTCTATACTAAAATCCAGGAACTCGCACTTATTTGACATAAGTAAGTCGATCAAGTTTTAACATTACATGGTATGATGAGATAACTAATCGCGATTAAGCAAAAGATTCGGGGGTAACACACCACATAATCTTAAATTAAGCGTACTTAATATTTTTAATCATCCCCTGCTCCACCCTGCCTGTCCAAGTTGCGTCCTATAATCACGCACGGACTTAATAGAAACGATGTTAGAACGAGTACCGCTAAGCCCACGGTTTAGACAAGAATGCCGTTGGGAGAGACGATGGCCCCGCCCGGGCCTAACGATACTTAAGGATCGCCCTAGTTCCCCACCACACATGACTCGAGATGAGTCAGATAGTGTGTATGCCAAACCGGATGGATGTCGCAGGATTCTACCCAAGGGAAGCTGATGGTTAAGAAATAACGCATTGTAGTCGGTGCCCCACGGCGAATATTTAATTGTATTATGTCTAAGTATGTCAAACTGAATATGAGCAATACAGTGTATGTTTAACACACAACTGTGGTCTTTTCTATTGGTGCATTCATAACTGGAATAAAAGTTTCTCTGTTGTCTAAGTCTGGGACTCTTTACTCATCGGGTCACGTGGTACATCCAGCAACCATGTTAAACTATTTTTTTAATCTTTATAATATATAGGCCTAATTAGATTATATAATATTATAAGATTATGTTAACGCATAGGCCTAAAGCATTTTTTTCAAAAGGCTTACTCATTTTAGTGAGTGGAGACTTTTAACCAAGTTACCACTCATGTCTAAATATTCGTTGCAACATTTTACTGTTCAACATTTTACGTATCCGAGTATTCATTACCATAGTATTATATAATATATATATATATATATATATATATATATATATATACAGTATATATATATATCCAACTAATAGAACGGAAACACACAGACCTGATAATATAACTGTTAAACTAATATTATTGTTATCATAATTTCTAATCAAAGTTGTTGAGTGAGGCAATACCAGCTGCATTTGAACGGTGGTTTCACTTGGGTAAATTTACTGACAATTTGACATTCTCAAACTTCCTGCTAAACTGGCTGTGTTATAGAAACTTACAGAATTATATTAAACGCATTTAAGTATAAAGGTAAAATAAAACAATTCATTGTGTCCTAAATGAGTTTTCTTTAAAAATTGAGAAGCCGCAGTAAGTCTGAGAGTGCCATTTCCGGCCATCTGGAGGTGACATAATCGTACATGTTCTTACTTCTACCCCAACCATGGTTGGGCTGAGGTGGTATGGTCCCTCCATCTGTCAAAAAGTCCCTCCCTGGGCCCCCTCTATTTGAAATTCCTGGATCCGCCACTGGAATAGGGTTAGGAATACGCACGTGTCCCACAGTACAGATACACGTTTGTGTTGTCGTTTTTTTGGGACTTTCACAGCATTATTTATGGGACGGGGCTGAGCATAACGATCCAACCCGCTGCTGTCCTGGTCAATCCCCTGCTTTTTTTTTTAAACGTATAGGCCTACTGCGTTTTTAACGTGCTCATCATGTTTTACAAAGAAAACGTCTCTTCAATAAGTTGTGTATAGAGATTTATATGGAGATTGGAGATTGAGATAGGCTCTCTTCACAGGCGTCTACGAATGGATCTTGTGGAGCAGGAAGTCATGTTGCCTCTATCAAGTACCTCCTGATTAATACATGGACGGGAAATTCTGTCCGTTTGCTGTTCTACTCGAAAGTGCTCTAATTGTTATTCTTGCTTTAAGTTGTTATTTTGCTTCGACAATCTATACGTATGTCAATAGCTATCATACCGTAAAACCTCGCATAGAAGCCTTGGGTTCCTTTGTTTTTTTTTTTGTTTTTTTTTTGCAAACTTCCGATGGGCTTCTTTTCGAGGCTACTTTTGCAAAGTAAAGAAGGGGTCTTCTTTTTAAAATGAATGCTCTAAATGTTTCGGCATTACTACTATAAAACAATAATAGGGCCACTGTAACATCGTGGTGTACCGTTATTGACCGGCAATAAATCACCTAAAGCTACTGTATAATCCAAGCGTGTTTTTAATTCATTTTGTTTCTATGAAATTTATTATCAACTGTACTATCTCGAAAAAAAAAACCAAAAAAAACCCCCACGCTAACTTAAAAAAAAGCCCATAATTAGACCAATTCCTAACTTTTGAAATGATTGAGCCTAATAGAATTGGAGGATGATCACCGCATCGAACAAACCATTAATATTGATGCTTAATGGAAATCCGTTACGGTATAATAGAATTGGGGGTTGAATTTACCTTTGTATATTTTTTTTTCCCAGTTTATATATAAACGTCTATATGCGTGTATCTAGAAATGGACAACAATAAATAGGCCTATTGAAGCAAAAAAAAAATTGTTTTATCTTATCGTGATTTTTTTTTTGTCAAAAAGGGGCATTAGTCGCGAGCGAAACTGCAACTGAGTTTTTAACAAATTTTCTGAGCGTGTTAAACTTGTGTCATCGATTATGATATGATATTTCGCAGATCAGTATAACAACGCAATAAACGTCTGGTAGTCAAAAGCTTAAATATTCCAGTTACTCACTTCCCATGAGTCAGCAAATCAATGCTTGTTCCCCATTCGACAATCAGTACCAGAATTATTGGACAATTAGTACCAAAATTATGAATTCTGAGATATTCACGGCATGTGAACGCTTCAGTCATAATCGAGAAAATTAAATATAAAAAACCAAAAAAAAAAAAATAAATAAATAAATAAAAATACATCTGTAATAACTGATATTAAAAAGTTTAGTTTATTTATATGGAGATTTATCTTTTTCCCCCATGAACTATATTAAATTACAATTATGTTTCGCTATCAGTCATTTGGGATTTTCGCCATTCTGTTTTGTGTAAAGACGCCGTTCTGCATGTGTTGACTCTGGAGTTAAGCAGTGATATATACCAAATATAAATTACTCAGCCTATGGGCATTGAAGCTAATGTCATCACAAATATTACGTTATTAATTATTGCAACGTGATTGTAGCATTGTATATGTTATAGCTAATCAAAAACATATACAATAATGATAATAATAAGCATAATGAATAGGAATAATAAATAATAGGGAGATTTCGCAACCTTACGGAAACGATGACGTATACGAAATCTTCATATGGTCATTCATTATGGTCATTCGTGCCTAAAACATAATAAAAATACTTACATCCGAGCTGAATGATCGTTGATTCATTTTAAAAGTCACGGATCGCCTATTTCGTGACATATATGCTACTTAATGGAATGGTTTGAATAAACCTTATTTGTTATCGTTTTCTCGTAAGCTTACGAAACCGCCATAATAATACAGTATGACGACTACGATAACGACGATTTATAACATTAATATTAATATTAAAGATAATGATAACAATAATAATGATAACGACGATAATGATAATCAAGAACACCTCTAATTAAAGACCACTTTTCTGTGGTCCCAAATTAACAAACTTCCTTTATATTTATTATTCTAAGTAGAGATCAAAGATGGACACCCCCCCCCCCCCGTGCCAAAAGTGGTCTTTAAGTGGAGTGAGACCTGTAATAATAACCCAATCGGTACATTTTTAGAGAAAAATAGTAATAATAAAGGTATACGACTTGATAATCACAATGACTTGATTGTGGGTGATTAAACTTCACTTTTATAAATGGGAGTGGAGTAGCTTTGTGGTTGCGCTTCTCTTTCAATCCCAGAATCCTGGGTTCAATTCCTGTCACGGTAACAGGATTTTTTTTCTGGCGACCAAAACAACTACATTACGTAAGCCTCGTACTATTTTATGTAGAGCAACTTGTGTTCATGTTTATTATGTGAATGGATTGCCACTTAGTAAAGTGATTAAGTTCGCTTTTGTCATATCCTTGTCCCTGAGCCTAAAAATAAATAAATAAATCATGATTATCATTATTATAATGATTATTATTCTTTAAATAGCGAGCTTAATTCTATAATATTCAAATTCGAAAAAACGGAGGATAGGCCTACGACAATCCGGGGTCGCAATTCTGAAATCTTAACAATTTAGTCAAATACCGGAACCGTTAATTGCGCGTTTTTTTGCAGTTGAACAAGGCGACAGCGTCCCCTCGTGTCCCTCCGTGCTACTGGAATTACTAATGATGATAATGAAGGAGATAGCGATTAATTAATTACAGCTATTACACACATCAGCTGCCCCTTCTGTACAGCCTTTATCTAACACGTTATCAACGTTTTAATATACGATTCATGTAGATTATTCATCATCGTTTCTGTCATCTTAAGCACGTTAGTAAGACGCAACAAACGGAAGCTGACTTCTTGAAGTATGTTCGTTCGTCATCTAATATTTCATTATTCAATATAGCTGCATAGATATAAATTGATAAACACTTTATAAATACTGTAATGTGAAGTGCTTTATGGCCTTTTGAGACGTGGAGAAGCACTATGTAGGCCTATAGTACCAACAATTATTATTATTATTATTATTATTATTATTATTATTATTATTATTATTATTGTTATTATTGATTACTATTATCGTCATCAAAATCATCATTGACCCTAAGAAATTCTCTCTAGTTCAGGTATATAGGCCTACTTCAAATCGCGTGGTGTCATAATGTGTAATTAACATTAGTTGGTTTCGCATTCATATACAGTACGGCTACATCTTCTGTTAATTATTCTTACTGCCAAATAGTATAAAACCTATACATAGGCCTATCCTGTGTATAGTAAGCATGTGCATGCACATGTATTATTGCGAATGTATAGAGTGCTGTATGTGTAAGAATGCAAATATTGGAGGTGTGTGAAGAAGCGGTGAACGTATTGGTATAGTTCCTATACAGGACTTATACACAGTTCTCCCTGTGCATATGTATGTCAGTTTATTTAATATAATGATTAAATTGAAATTATTGATCTTCTCTTACCTTCTTTCAATCTTGTTCTACAAAAGACAGTCGTTAGATCCCCACCACAAAGGCTTACAGAGAAAGATTTGCACACGTGCTGAAACGATGTAAAAACGCTAGTTATCCGCGAAGTGAAAAATTATACAGACGATGCTTTCACAATTCCAACATATTGTATTACTGCTCAATCTCATTCCAGCCAATTTCGGAGAGTTGCGTTGTCACGGCTACGCAGCACGCCGCCAAATGATTCGCTCGGCTGTTCTAGTGTTACGAAAGGACGACCGCAACACACTCTGTACTGAAAGAATACAACTTACAAAGAGGCTTGTTCCCGGGGGAGAGTTGTAGGTTATTCATACGGATTCGTTGACTTGATGATGTTCGCCTCCGGGCTTGGCATAAACAAGGTGCTTACAAAACGTTGTGGTAGTGTTTACCCTCGTCGGATTCTCCACGGAATTGGAGTGTTAAATATTGAATAGGTTGTTTTGGGTACAACTTTTCCGTTAGTTATTTACCAACGCCAAAGGTGTTGAGTTGTACACAGAAATGTTGTCAATTATTTTAAATTGTGAGAATATCGACACCTGTACAGCTATCACCGACATTAATTCAAAAGAAATCGTCACAAAAAGTTCTCAAAAACAACAAATATACCTGGAAGGGTTTTCATGGTTTCATGTTTGAAGTTAAGAAGCTAATTTGGAGAAGGAAACGTGTAGTTGAATTAGGGCCTACATGATTGTGTACAAATTACAAACCAGCGAAAGAGATATATTACACTATTTAATATACATTTTACCTTCCAATTCGAGACCACCTTTGGTATACCTGAACATTTGGGGTGATCTCGGGGTTCGGTCTCTGATTAGAGGGTTAGCTTTATGTTAAAAATTTGACGATTGTTATTTGGTTTTTAGAAGAAAAGTGGTCTCGAATTGGAGCAGTGGCGTATATAGGGGTGCGTGGTGGGGGGGGGGACACGGCCCTCAAAATATTACTCGCGCCCTCCCTGTCACCCCCAAAAATCAATTGCAAGTAGTTAAAAGCACCTAAAATTACCTTACTTTGAGAGTTAGCGCTCCTCAACTGATCATCGTGCCCCGCCCCCCCCCCACTTGACCTTCGCCTCTCCCTCACCCCATCTGCACCCCATTTCAAGACTTCAGACACGCCACTGAATTGGAGGTCACTGTTTAACCTTTAACAATTGACCGTTATACGATTCATTTGAAATACAGGCTATAAATTTGATTGATTTAATTTTACCTGTTAATGGATTATTCTGGTTCTCTGTACTACCAAGTGAACTAGATACTCTACACATGACGTCAATAATTTTATTTTTTTGAAAATCTGATAAGGAATCTGGTGACCAATTATATTGGCCTATTTCCGACATTCTATGTCTTTAGAGGTTCGACTTCTCTATAGAGAGGCGCTCAGTCCCTGACTGGCGCGTCATTATCAAATCGTTTCGTATCATGGTTCAAAAATGAAACTTTACTTTTCATACACTCAGAAAATAATACAGTCGCATAATATAAAAGCATACAAAAAACCCATAAATTGATAGTTGAATTAATAATGAGACCTACAGTTTCCTCTGACTGTGTTGCACATTATATTTTTTAGCACGGTGGGTAGATGGGTAATAGGATGTTAATCATTGAAATATAGGGAACTTCCTGGTCAGCGATGTAATACCCACAGTGCATAACAATCCCCAAGTGAACTTTTCCCGTTTCGAAGGCAACAACTATGCACTCCACCGTAGGACCTCGATAGGGGCGACCAACATTTATTGACACTCTCTTAACACAGTAAAATTCAACGAATAAAAATAACCAAGTTTTAAAGACCTGAGTGTAAGTCAGTAGGCCTATTTATCGTATCTTAGGGGTTGATTCAAAAACCCCGAAAATTAACAGTATACCTGAAAATAGAATAGGTCTAGATCTTCTAGGGTCTCGGTTGTTGATAAAACCTATCTTATTTTATAATAACAGAAATGGTTTATGGGTATATTATTTACATATACTGTAACTATTAAAACCAAGGTTATAGGATTACTTCTGACAAGCCGGTGCCCTCTGTATCACCCTTTGCTTAATTTATTGTTTGTGATAGACAAAATCAATTAGGGCAAAATATTAAATTAAATAACCAGAAACTTTTTTTTTTTCATTTAAGTGCTTTTTCGTTCCGTTTTTAGTCCGAGTTTGGTGTCTGCGCCTACTTGGTAGCTTGCCAAGCTCAATATAGCCTAAGTTGTATTTTGCGCTATGGGGCCTCAATTATGTCCTCGGGCTATTCAAAGCGATAGATGACTTTAAACGTAATAGTAAATACCAAAATAATTTGAATGAAGCAAAAAAGCGTCAAAAGTATGTTACTGTAGGGAAAAAATATAAACATTCGAATATTTTGTTCAATAAAATACCATGTTTTCCTTGAAGTCTTAAGGTTCCTTTTTTATTTTTTACCACATAAATCTTTTTTTATTTGTTTTGTTGTCGATAATATTCTGTTTCAAATTGGATCACGTGGCAATCTTTTTTTTTCTGGATTGCAAACATAAGTGAATGGTTTCATCAGCCATATTATTCTTTTTTATGAACAAGGAGAGTAGTCGATGGTTCACGTGGACAATACAGGTGTCCATCTTTGAGGGGGATGCGTCTCAGGAAATCCGATTCAGCAAGTCTTCATTTCACCATCTATTATATGGCCAACACTTGAGTAAACCTGAATCGAAACGATTGATCGTCAACCGACATCTACTTCGAAACGCGTCCGGCGGGCGAATCTGCATCTGTTATCGAGACACAATTTCCTCAATTTGCATTGCAAAGCAGGCGATAAACCATGTCACATTAATGAGGTGTTTTGTTAAGATTTATAGGCAAAAACGCAGTAATATAGTATCACAATGCAATAGTAAAGTTGAATGTTGTTATATATCTGACTTTCCTTATGGTGTTTTTAAAAATGTGTTTGATTTTGATATTCTAGTTTCTCTGCTGATAATCATATGCTGTCATTATTATCATCTGATTCGTCAACACTCATTATCATCTGCAAATGACTATCAAAATAGTTATCTCATCATCACCACCATCATTACCATCATTCAATCATTATTATTAATATTATGATAATCTTGATTTCTGTGATTATCAGGATATTACTTTGGGTGTACAAAATGTTGAGCTCTATGCTTATTCAATCCTAATAAAGGAAACGCTATTTTCACCACAAGATAGACTCAAAATAATGACATTTCATAAAAAAAAAAATTTATTTTAAAGAGTTAAGTGTTATAAACTTACCATGAAACCATGAGAATTACATATTATATACAAATTACTATATCTGTGTCAAGTCCATTGGTCAAATGTATAAAATATTCATTGACCATACTGTTAATCCAATTTGTATAAAAATAATCTTGTAAATTTTGTCCTTTAGGTTCCATAAGATTGACTTATCCCCATGAAAATGTTGACCTACTTGAATCTTGAATGGCACTTCCCTCTATAATATGTACCGTGATTTTTTCTGTATCATTGTACCATTAAGCCTGTTTTCCACCAGGTGAATCGAAAGCGTCGGTTCGCTTCCCCTAGCTCTGATTGGTGGCGCACTTTTCGCTTCGCAAAAATAGAAACAGTTCGAACTGATTTCACTGAAGCGAAAACTCCAATAGAAATGTGAATGCGCATGAACCGACGCTTTCGATTCGTGCAAATAAAACCGTCCCGCTAAGCCCCACTGTTATTGTAGCCAGAGCCATAGATAGAGAGAGAGTTTGGCCAACTTAGCTCATGAACACCATGTCGTTACCAAACAGCCCAGGCGCATGCGCGCGTATAGCTTTAATGGTTTGTTTTGGTGACAACATGGCCGGTGTAAGTCATGTGATTGCGATCCACCCAATCACACGCGCGTATATCGAATCCCGTGAAACAGAGTTGGCCAAACTCTCTCTATCTACGGCTCTGATTGTAGCTAAGGTCCAAGCAAACGAATGTGTACAAACATGGGCAAACAAGTGCGTTTGTTAGACAGCTCTTGTGTCCGTGCGTCACGCGCGTATTCCTGGTCTTGTTCTGATTGGTCAGTTGGTAAGTTTGATTGAAAATCCAGACGGTCCATTGTGTATTTAGTCCACAAGAACAACAAACTACCGAATTACTACTAATATTAGAATTTCGATAGATTTATAAAATGACAAATATGCTGAAATCTAAGACAATAAATAGCAGCTTTAAATTACATTTCTTAAATATACAATATATATAACGTTTGATCTGTTTGCAGCAAAGTTTATACCACGTGATACGCTGTTACTTTCCAGATTATGACGTACGGTAAGATTTAAAAAAAATTTAGATAAAAATTAATACAAGCATCTTCAAATATATATATATATATATATATATATATATATATATATTCTATTCATATATATTCTATTCTTCATATATGTTCTATTCTCCATGTGATTTAACAATTATTTAAATTAACAGTATAATTATTACTTATCAGGATTGGTTATAAAATAGGTGGGCCATTAGTTTGTAAGCACATCATTCTAGTAAGCTAAAAAAAAATTCGAAAATTAAATGTAAGCATCCTGAAGCTTTACGTTTCGTAATTGGCTCTGTGATGCCACCGTACCCCATCAAATACCATTATAACATACTGTACCCCACCAAATACCATTATAACATACTGTATTTGCGAACAGTGACGTGAGCACGAGCAATGAGTCTACTGCTCTTTTAATCGTCAAAATTAAGGACCGCTAGGCCTAATTGGAGCTCATGACAGACCTCACGAGAAAAACCTGCATTCACCAATATTTATGATGATGTCTAAGTAGATCTAAAAATCATTCCAGGCCTAATGTTTTTTTCTGGGTATCACTGATGTATCATCAATGTGTTAGTCAGCTTGCTCGTTCTTTCTTCAAGGTTTACATCGGCCAACATAATCCAGACCAATATTTCGATTTTCTCCCCAGCAACTGTCAAACTTCAAAGCACATTCATCCTGGTATGTTGTTCCAATATCGGAGCACACTTCCCCCGCCAAGGCCAAGTCGATAGGACAATGGAACGTTGCTAAACACTCGATCATTGAGAATTCTGTCAGATTATAAAACAAAATTAGGTTAAAACGATAATAAATGTGAAAAAATTATTACGCAAATTATTACGCAAAATACCAGCTGGATATAGCAAATATAGCAAGCCATGAGACAGTTATTTTTCGTCGTGAGAAAAACTTTTTTTCGCGATTGAGCCCCCGATCCTGATGGACGTAGCAAAGAAGCAAGGCTAAGTAAGCAGCTATTTTTAGTTGTCATATAAAAATATATTTTTATAAAACCAAAATACGTGACAAATCCAGGACTTACAAACGAAGGCAATGAGAAGACCACAAACTACTGACACCCATTTACAGTGATTCATGTTCAAAAATACAAATCTGAAATTTAATTTCCAAGTGACAAATCATTAGAAACGTCAGGTCGTAACAGCACTGCTTATGTTCTGGCCTAAATTGGTAGAGGGCGCTTTACTGGTGCAGTGGCATTACAGTTAATCGTCGACACCGATTTGTTTTTACCCACTAATAACAATACAGTGTAGCCTAATATGAAGATGCGTTCAACGGGTCTCAAGTACTAATACAGTGACTTAAGAATATAATTGGTTAACTGGTATTTTAAAATTGACCTCAGTACTTACTCATTTTAACAGTCTGTGTTTGATCAGGTGGGCATGGTCCATCGGAGTCTTTTTGTAGGTTGAATTCGACGGTTCGACACGCCTCACGAAAAAGGTGGCATTCGGAAGCGTAGTTTTTTCCGTCACTTCCGCAGACAATACCTGTGTTTTTTAGGCTCTTATGACACTTTTTGATCATCATACAGCAATTTCTACCGTCATCTAGAGGGTAAGCATAACATGGGTTCAAGTATATCGATATTATAGACCTATTAAGCAAGTCTTCTCGTAGTTTCAAGTGCAACTGATTATGTCGAAGGCCAATGTCATATTATATCAAAGGTCAACGTCATATTATGCCAAAGGTCAAGGCCATATTATGTTAAACCTAAATTAAATTGTTTGCTTATTGGTGAATTCGTTCAGATTGTAGAAGATTTTGAACTCTGGTATAGTAGAAGCTCGGTTCACACTGTTTAAACGCGTTTTGATGCATGCGCAAGAAACTCAACGCACACCATGATTTTCAGTGTAAACTAGTTTATAATAAAGCTTAAGCTACTCAGCTTGACTTACGCCTTGGTAATGCATACACAAATTTTTGTCTCGCGTTTATGAGGGACCAGTGCTGGTGTGAACAAAGATTTAAGTATCAACTGCATATGGAAATTTAAGTTGTTCCCCATGCAGTGATTACTTGGTCGATTTTGTCGGCACACTAAAGCCGGGCACTCACTTCGTCGTAAGACCGTTGCACGACGAATCCAACTCCCCTCCGTCCTGTCAGCGCTAGACGACGCGACGCTGTCTCCTGATTTTCTGTGGTCGTCTGAATATCGTTATTAAAAATATCCCTGCCCGCGTCGTCGCGCTGTGTTCTTTATAGAACCGCGTCGGCCGACGACCGTCTCAGGCGCAGTGAAAGACCCGCTTAAGAGTTTCGGCTTACCCAAGCGGCACCTTGCATCGCAGAACTGTCGAATTGATGGCTTCTTACACTGCACCTTCTTCAGTTCACAGGTATTCTTGTAAGTTACCATGTTGCTTCCGCATACTGGACTGTCCCAAGATGGACAGTCAGCTCTACAAGGATCTAAGTACGGATGAAAGCATTAATAGTAATTGTGAATTTTCAAAGAAAAGTAGAAATGTTGTGAAAACTTTTATGAAATATAAACTCGTGAAATGAAATTAGTGGAAATATAAATTCAATGACGGGGGAATACCATAATTGTCATTTAAATCATAATAACTTTCCCTTCCATGAGCTCTCGTACAACATATTATCGGCTTAGTTGTGTCTTGTAATATGCTGTTTTAGGTTTTCAGTACGTATGTGATTGACGAAGACCAATATACAATCAACTCTACTTCTCCTAATATAATAATTATCTTTTGTATTTCTTAGTAAACTTATCTGTTTTCGACATCCATGGTACATATATGGTATAACATTCAACGTGGAAGAATTTCATCTAGTCTTTAGTTGAATTAGTATCAGTGGTGGCGCCAGAGGGGGCTGGGGGTCATAGCGCCCCCCCCCCACGTCGGGGAAGACGAGTAAATTTTGTCGGGGAATAAACAAATAAAAAAAATATTTATTTTCATTAAACTATATGTGTTAACTTTTCATCACAATAATAATAATAATAATAATAATAATAATAAATAATAATAATTAAGAAATAATAAATAATAGTTCAATGAGACTAATTAAAAATAATTTGCGTTCTGTTATGACAAATGCTAGTTTGGATAGCCTCATGATGCTTGGAATACATCGTGAGGGGAAGCAATCCCGACCTTGACAGCGTGGTTGACAGATTTCCAAAATGTAGAATTTCACTTTCAAGAATGAGGATTTGAAAATAAATAAATTGTTTCTTGTTTTATTTAAAATGTTTTGGTTTTGGAAGCTGATTTCATATATAGTAGCTCGATGACTATTAAATAAGTAATAAAAATTCGCCATAATTCGTTAACTATCCGCGGCTTCCAGGGAGCGGATCCCCCTGGACCCCCACCAGGGGCCCTTGACGTCCCCCTGGCCCCCAGCCAAGTGACTCTATTCGCTCCACTAGCCCCCCCCCCCCTCCCTCCGTCGGGCAAGTCCTGGCCCCATTACTGATTAGTATACTGTAAATGGTTTCAATATAGAGACTAAAAGTCTATATATTGAAGAACCATTTGCAGTATACTAAACATTCAACTGCTACTTTTTAGATTATAACATACGGCAATGATTCGTTTAAGCCATGATGTCTAAACGTCACAACAGCAGCAACGATGCAAAAAAATACAAAAATATTGGTGACTTAACTCATAAGAATACAATTTAATTACGAAAATTATCTACCTTCGTCGACGTGATCTCTTTGGATCAGTAAATCTGTGATAAGGAAAGGCGGCATCGTCATATCTCCCTCCCCCGGCAAATCATTTCCACGTTTATCGAAAGCGGGAATCAATTTACTTGGCCTGGTAGGACGCGGAGGTTTATTTTTTATACAGGAGCCCTTATGTGCCATCCGCAGTATTGAACCATGCTCGCGACAAGATTTCCTAGCAAGTGCACACTGGTTCCCGTAGGTTCGTCCATCAGTTCCACAGACAGATCCAGTTTTCTTCAATTTATTTGGACACCGATTTCGAATGTCGCAACAGTGGTGATTGTTCACTAAAAAAGAAAAACAAACAGTTATTTACTATAGACTAATTTAAGAAACAAAATCAAACAATGTGCATTTTGTATAGCCAACTCTAGAGCGCAGCATACTTTTTAGGAGACTGGCAAAGGTGCCGCAAACTGGACCGCTTGTTTTAAATACTTGAGGACACCTGGTACGAATGTCACAGCAGTGAACGTCATTTACTAAATAAGAAAACGTAGTAAAATTTGGCTGATTGTTGATTTTAGGGAAAATGAGCTTTGTTTAATGTTAAAGCAGGCGTTCGACCAGTTTTTGTATTTATTCACATAAATTCTACAAATTATATTCTAATGACGATAAAAGACAGTTGATATATTTACATATTCACTCACCTGTTTTACATTCGCCTCGACATTGTTTCCCAAATTGTTTATCAACACAGTACTCTCCCTCAGTTGGTTTTGCCGGAGATTCCGTTGGAACAATGTCACTGCATTTCTTTTCACCTCTTTGCGTAATAATCGCATAAAAAGAAAATAAAAGTACAATGAAATAGTTTTCAATAAATTCATCTGGTTTCAGTGGTATGCTTGAGAAACGATAGCCGAAGTGCATCTGAAACGTTGCAGGTATGTAACACATTGCACTGATTAAACAAAAGAAAATTCTCAAAAATTGACTAAAAGTAAGAAAACTATTTAAAAAATAGTTAGAAAAATGCAGTACTCACTTAACTTTCAATCCCTTTTCTTTACAAACCGCTATCGCTAGTAGACACAAGTTTGGATAAGTGACGTCATTGGTACCGCAAGCCGGTCCTGATGTTCTAAAGCTCTTTGGACATCTTTTTTTAATACTACAGCAACTGTGACCATTCACTAATAATAATAATAATAATAATAATAATAATAATAATAATAATAATAATAATAATAATAAACAAACAAGTCATCTAAGTGTACATTTTATATTCAGTGTTTTCTTCAGTCTGTACACTCATCCCGATTACGCTAGGCCAAATCAACAGAGGGCGCCGTACTCACAGACCTGTTTATTACTGTTAAACTACGATTACGTGGAGCCCATAGCTTAACAGTTGAGTTGTAGTTCAAATAATGTCCATTAACAATATAACGGTGATACTAATAATAAGCAAATATCAATTGGCAATAACAATCATGACCGTTTTTTAATGTCTAATAAAATCCGTCTACAATTTTACAGTTTCAGTTTATTTATTTTCCATAGTATTATAATTATAAACAACATAATACAGAAAGAAATATGGAAGGACGGCCAAAAAAAAAAAAAACACACAAAACAGAGCAAAGCTCATACAATGTTTGGTCACCTAAAATAAATATAATAATTTAAACAATGTTGGCAATAGTATAATACGATCCAGATTGATGTCAAATTATTACAACCAAATATTGCTAAGATGGATTCCCTTTCTTAAAATGAAGCTTCTATTTATCTTAGATTACTCTATCCGTCGGCCAGAAAAAAAAATTGTTGACTGATAAATATTCAGATACCTACCCTTTCTACACGGTCCGTTGCATTGCTTCACCAAGTCCTTTTTAACGCAATTGCGTTTCTTTAGGTGACATTCGCTGGGGTAGGTATTTCCATCACTCCCGCAAATAGGTTTACTTGGTACACAGGTACGTGTGCATTGAACTAATAAAAACAGTACAGTAACAGAGTAAATTTTTATTTACATTTAACACATTTAACAACACTACATGAATAATTCGGAAATAAGTGAAGATATTGCAAGAGTTTTATAACACAGGCAATATTTAGGGCTTTTAGATAACTTTTTTTTTTTTTTTGAAAAGCAAACCAGAATTGATATGCTATCTCAAACTATTATTACAATAGAAATGGAAAAAATAGTTATAATAATTAAGTAAAACATGTTTAGAACCCACATAATCGTTGACTGAATGTTCACACCCCAGGCATGAGCTTTTAGTAACTATGGTAAGACCGTTCTCGAATGACTGCAAGTACCAACATTCAGCCAACAGTTTCCTTCTACGAAATATTCTTAATCATGCGCAATGCATCTTACAAAATTGCGCCCCCTCGCAAAATAGAGGCTTCAAATGAAAATGACAGTATAATACGGATAAAACATTCACTTTCACTCTTGTTTCTTTCATCCACTCATTTCATCAACGTCTTCTTCGTTTTTGAGGATTACAAATATATAACCTTTTTACCTGAATTTCCAAAGTACGCTCGATTTCCTATTCATCTACATTGTACTATCATTACATGACCTAACACAACACACAAACTGTTATAATTTTAAACTAAATAATAATGGATAACTATAAAATCTTGGTAAGCCGAGTGCAAAGTTTGATACAGGTTATCTGATCCCATAACGGTTGATTCACAAAAATGGTTTTGGGGACAAAATGTATTGATTATTCCTTTTTATATAATTGTATTTCTTCCATACTGAATGCGTGAATAGTGAAATAAAATCAAATACAAAGTTATCTTCATTTTAAAACATTACTAATTTGAACAGAATACATTTTGTATTCTTTAGTTTTCGGTGCATATGAACCAAGACAGCAATAAAATGATGATTGATGAAGACCTGAGACCACTATATATTTTTCTCTGACGAAGACTTTAAGTACTGTGTTTTGAAGAAGTTTTGAAGAAAACGGCGTAATAGCTGTTATAACGAAACTACCAATGATTTTTTTGCAGCTTCTGCAGTGCTTTTCAAGCAGATAATTAGACCTGCTACACATGCGATTACTTCACAATACTGTATTGAAGATTTCATGCGTTGCTGAAATGATAGTGGAAAAAGCGGGAAGTAATTTCAAGACACAAACATGCATCAACCGTATTGTCTGCAAGTCAGTGATCATGATACATCCTGTACGTCCACCAGACAGAGTTAAAGTTTTCATTTTATCTTAGTTTAACATTCGAGAATGTTAATTTGCCATGCAGGCTAGTCGGCGAATATTATATAAGTCAACTGAGCCATGACTTACTGTCGGGTAATGCAGGTTTTGCAGTTGTTGAACGAAACGTCTGATGATGTTTAGTTGATGAGGAGTATACGATCGCCGGACGGAGAAGCCTCCGTACGATTATGATACGTCGCCGATGCTGAGTGACGGTGACAACTGGTGTCCGAACACGAATCACTCTCAGAACAGGTGCCCCATATGCTGGCAACCGCAATATCACAAAGGAACGTATATTTTATTTTCTTTTATTTATTTTATTTATTTATTTATTTATTTCAACAATATTTTGTGAGGGTGGTCCATCCAGCCTGAGCTGATCAATTGGGACCCTCAGTACATACAATTAAATTATTATTACATAAGTATAAAAATTAAACTTGATCTTTAACATAAGCAAATTAATTAAATTAAACCAGGAAAAAATTAATAATAATAATAAAAATAATAAAAATCAGAAAAAAGTTATAGGCCTACAGTATATAAATTATATATAATAATGATTTAAGGAAAACATTAAAAATAAAAAAAATAAAAAAAAAAAATAAAAAATAAAAAAAAAAATTGACATATTGGACAGAATAATAATTTAAATTAAAAAAAAATAAATAAATAAAATAAAATAAATAAATAAATCAAAAGAATTAACTTCTACAATTCCGCAGCAAATAATCTTAATACATTTTAATAAAACACCGTTTAAATTTAATTAAAATGATATACTTATTAAATTCCACAAATAAATCTACAATAATGGACAATTAAATATGGTATAGACACTATGAGGCCGAACACTTTAGAACATGCAGAATTTTAATAATACATATTCGCAGTACATCCCTCGAAAATATTTACCATATTTTGAATTCTGAATACAAGGCCATATCACGTATTGTTTCATCAGACCTGGGTGTTAATATAAGTTTAAACTGTATTTTATTGGAAAATACAATCCGTGTATTAAAACGTCAAAATAACATATTACTTTGACATGCGAGTTTCTGTTAAACCCATTAGACTAAAAAATGAACAATCTTTATTTTTTACTTTGACGCATCGTTTTTTTTGGCAAAAAGTGAGTAAATAATCTCAAATATGTCAGGCTTATTCACGTTGTACAAGGGATTCTTTTCAACAGACTAATGTAGTTAATATAATCAACTTATCCACGGTCATCTGTACTATACAAAAACAGCAAAGGTTTATGTTGCAAAAGGATGTAATGTATTGTTCAGCCTACGGTGGAACCTCTCTGACCTCCGCCGTAATTCATACTCTCCCTGTTTTAAATCCGATAGGCCCAGGCTTTGTTATTTTTGTGTTATGTACCTACATTCAACAGTACAGTGCACTAATTCTGCCCATTCTTATGATTTAACAAGACAATGTCACACTTGTTTTGTACTTTTATTACTTTCGCAATCTCAGTGAATGTTAACAGAGTATAGTACATCCGCACTAACTGTACTGTCTCCAACTCAACCGAATCGGAAAAAAGTTTAAAATGTACTGAATATAAAATTGGTTATTTTCTGTAATATGGATGCAAAGGGAATCGTACATCCTTTATTTTAACCAGAAATCTATCGTTGTGCCAGTATTTGGGGCACTGAAGTTGTCATAGTAATAAAAGATCGAAGCTGCGATCCAACCGGACTCCGTTCCTTGATCCCGACGGGGATTCTAGTACACCCCGGTTGGTCCGCTTTGCTCACCCGTGTACCCCAGGGCCCAGTGGCAATCCTGGATACGGTCCCTAATCGAACTCCTTTCTCCTACTCACACAGACGCCTGTCCTGTACATATACATGTGTGTCGGTTACAACCAACTGACGATGATTCTAAGCAGGACCATCTTGGCATAGCTCAAAATCATGCTGCTTTTGGAGAAGCTTTATCAGATGTTTTAAACATACAGGCGTAAGTAATCAACTAATACACTAATTGAAGTAACAAATATAATGTTAAGTTTAATGCTTCCTCCTTTTAATAGGATACTAATTGAACACTAGTTCGAATCATAGAATAAAACGTGATTTTCATCTGTGGGTTACAATTTCAGATCAAACCAATTAATTGTTCTGTATTACATATCTTCATCATTCTCATGGTAGCCGTCTGCAACTGACCACTTACTGCTCTTTCGATTGGCTAAAACAGTATAACGAGGTTACAGTGCATGGGGGTCATATGCTTTGTATGTTTCAAGTATTTTCAACTGGATTTCAACTTTCCTTAATCCTCTTCATTACTCGAGGAAATGAATAAAATGAGGCTCTCATTTGTTTTCATATTCACAGAGTCACGTGGTCTAAGCAAACGTACAGACAACAGTTTCGATCGCTTGAGATTCAAGTTAATAAGTAGGTTTCCGGCTCCTAAATACAACAAACATAAAATACAATAAATGTCCTACTGTTCGAAAAGTCAAGCAGACCCATGAGATTGCTAAAAATCATTCGGGAACCTGAGATTACCGGTACAGATTAAAATACTGGCCATTCATACCAAAGCCGTTTTTTCTTAACACCTGAATTAAAATCAAATCCAACCGGTCAGTACAGGCTTCGCCTATATCTTCAAGCCATGCTCCGGAGGACAAAACATTTGATATGTTGGACAAAACATTCTAAGCGTTTCCGAGGCTTCGTCAATTGAACACTCCTTTTGTGTTTTAAAAACCCAGCTGTACACCATATATATAAAAAATAATTTTCCTTTGTAGGCCTACTACTATCTATTCAAACAATAAGGCTTGAATGTTTACACAACGGTTTAAAGGCAGATATTTCGATTGAAAAAAAGGTAGCACGATTAATTACAATCTTATTGTTGAGTTTTTCACTTCTCCGAGTTCGGTATTTAAGAACGAACATGGCAAGATGGTTCCACAAATACAATCGATGCTATTATTCAAATACGCCTAAGTGTTGGCATCTTTTTCTCCATTCCTCCCTTATGTTTGTTTTTATCGGTTTCTCAAAAAAAAAAAAAAAAAAAAACAACTCCGGAACTTCTTTGAACGAGTTAGGAAAATTGAGTATAATGACGTCATCAAAGTCGTACGTGGTCATTCTTCGTGTTAGTATTTGTGGGATTAAACTAAATTCATGTCACCATCATTTTTTTTTTCAAAAATGACGTCATTAGAGGGCGACTAAAGTAGACGGATAGTGGGATAATATAATGTGGATAACGATTCTAATTGATGACTGATTTCCTCCAAAGTATTGACGTCTGTTTTTGTAAACTCACGTTTTTGTCATGGTAGCTTATATAATTGTTCTGTTCTAATAATAATATCTTTATTTCCTCTACACTTACATATATACAAAAGAAAGAGGAGGGGTCAGGAAAAAAGGGGAACAAGTTCCTATACCCAAAGATTTTGTCTTCCCGGACATAAGTGACTCAAAAAAAAAATGCTTCATAAATATTTAAAAATCAAGATGAGGCAAAAGCGCATTCTTAAAAGAAAAAAGTAAATTGCATTGTTGCTGGTGTCGCGAAGATTTTCTGTTCTTGTTAAACTATACATCATACTGGAGCAACATTGTAAAAGCCATTATAGATTATTATATCATGTTACTATTAACAGGCTCTTAAAATAAGGTGTTTGTCAAGCAAGTGTGTATAATAATTGTCCAGTTGTTTTATTTTGTATCTGGCTAATAC